TTGGTCTTATACTGCGAAATAGGACTAGCCTCCTCTGGGCTGAGTAAGACCCTTAAGGTTTGCAGGGAGAGGGTAAAGAGGTCTCAAGAGGGAGATATTGAACCTTTGTGAAGTAGGCCATTTGAGGGGTTGAACAATTAATTAGAGAAATGAGACTTATGAACTTATTTGGATGTGGGTCATCCAAGTTACACATACAAAAGAAGAACCTAACTACATTCAAAATTAAAACTTAAGTATGAAACAATCCAGAACAAAAATTAATTAAAAGATGAATAGATAGGGAAAGTACCTGTAGTAAATATGACAGCTTATTTAGGTGATAAAGGAATACATTAAGACCAAATAGGTAAATGGGCAAAGTACATAGATAGACAGTTTACAAAGGATGAAATAAATCAATAAACATAATATAGAAATATCCAACCTCACAAATAATCAAAGAAGAGCAAATTGAGACATTTCTTTCTTCTACTAAATTAGGGGGAAATTATAATACCTAGTGTTGATCAGACTGTTGACCTCTGTTGCTAGGTGAAAATTTGTAAAGCCCTTTGTGAAAATATTTGGATATTTACTTTAGAAATGCACATCACAAAGTCTTCTAGCTCTAAACGGCCGATCAAAACTGTATATTTATTTTTCCTACCTCCCAACGTCCCACTGCAATAATAGAAGACAAATGAAAAAATAAATAAATTTACAGTAGTCCTGGAAAACCAGGCAGGTAGGCCTCCAGTGAGAAATTCCTGGATGAGATAAGGCTGAGGGGAACAGATTGATAGTGAACCCCAATAACCCATCGCGCCATAACAGATGGCAGAGAGGGGTTTTCCAAGCAGAACTCTGGTGCAATCCCAACATGAGAGGTGTTCAACATTGAGAAAGGAGCTGACCTTGGGCCTTGAACTTGGGGCTTCAGACAAACTAGCTGAGCCAGTCTCCTCCCCCTACCAGCCGAGCTGCTGAATTCCCATTTCGCGTTTCCTTATAGTAATGCCCGTCCTACCTTACACTGTCACACTGTTGTGTAAATGTCCCCCTTCAGCACTTCCTTGTTACCCAGAGTTCACCCCCATGTAATATATGTCTGAATTCCTCACCAGACCTAAACTCCTCTGATACATGGTTCTGCCTTACTTATTTTGCATCTCCCACAGCATCTAGCAAATAGCGCTGTAAATCATGGGTACTCATATTTGCTGTTAAATCAAAGTCACACATATAAAAGTACCATATAAGCCTTTTACAAAAGCAAAGGATTATTGTTTTTTTAAATTAGTATTATCATTAATGATTTTTGGTCTACTCAGTTTCATCTCACCATCAGGATTTCTCAAAGCGTGTCTGTCCACCACGTATAACAGAAACACCCAGTATTCTAGTTTAAAGTTCAGATTCCTGGGAACCCTTAAATCTTGTAAACCAGTTTCTCTGTGGGTGGGGGCCTGATAAGCTACATCTTCAGTAGGGTGATTATTCAATTTATTGCCCAAACTGGGACACTTTTGAGTAAAAGGGGACACTATTAATAGTTACATTGAGACAATTGGCATAAACCAGAACAGTCACCCTCATTTCAAGTATTTCCTTTTACAATGAAATATGAGAGCCACTGCCCAAGGTTCTAATTCCGTCATGGCGGAACCAAGTGTCTTCCCTCCTTTAACTTCCACAGTAAGGACAAGGCCCTGAACCAACGGGGTGAGCAGGCAGCTATGGTGCTGCCATTAGGCTGAGCAGAAGCGGAAGACAGCAAAGAGTGTGAGTGCAAGGACAGCTGGTGTCCTAGGCAGGTCCTGGCCCGGGATGGCCTCCTGCTACCTTGAGAGATGCTGGCTGTGGCCACCGAACAAAGCTGACGGCCCTGGTGCCAGTGTCCCCCTCCAGCTATCCTTCAAGGACCAGGCTCTTTTCACTCAGAGATGGGGCTTTAAGGGGACTGCATTCACACAAATAATGCCCCATATTCAACAGTGAGAAAGAACACCTGTGTTAAGTCAGACGGCCTGGGGCCAACAAGAGCCACCTAGCGTGTGGCAGGGCTCTGCCATCTGCCAGATGCCCAGGGCCGCATTTGAGACAGCAGCAGGGCCTTCAGCTCCTGCGGCTGGGCTGTTGTTTCCTTCCAGGAGAACTTCCCTTCTGTTCCTTCTGCCTTTCCTTTTAATTTACAATCATGGAAAAGCACCCAGTTCCATCAAAGGCCGTTTTAAGAGCTTTGAGCCTAAGTGAGCTGGGAAATTACACCTGCAATGTTAGTCTCTGACCTAGCTCTCCAGGATCCCTTGAGATTTAATAAGACACCGTCTCGAGCTGGAGTTTCCATTGTCCCCTAATAGCATTAAGCCAGCAGTGCACAGAATCTCTGCGTGAGCACACACATTCTTTCTCTCTTTTCTATGCCCACACTCTCTTCAAACACATACTTTTTCTGTGTCCACGAGGCAAGCCCACACATGACCTTGATGATGAGCTTTCTGTGTTGCAGTGTAGCTTGTAGATGCTTGGAATTTTGGAAAGTATAAAGGGCTTTAAAATCAGGTTTTAATTATGCTACAGCTAACAAACTGGTCATAGTAATGTACGTGACATGTGTAGACCTTTAAGTATTCCCTGCCATTTGGACACAGAGAATGGATGAGATCCAGGGCGGGCCCAGGGAGACTTCTAGCCAATCAGGTGAGCGATGGTTGAAGAAACTGAGCTTGCTGAGCCGCCCAAGAGAAGATGCTGGAGAAAGGACGAGGGAGAGAGGCTATGATAACTTTTGTCAAACATCTGAAGACCTGTCACTTGAAAGAAGGATCTGTATTTATTCCATATTTCTGTTCCAGCAAATGACGTGACTCCATGCTTTCTTTTTCATGATATCCCTCTCTCTACCACCTCCACTTCTCTCAAGTGCCACAAGGCTCTGTGAAGCCTTCCTGAGGCACAGCAGTTGTCCTCTCCTTCAGGCTGCCACCACCTATCACATTGTATTCTTTGTAAAAAAATTATTATCTCTTTGTCTTATCCAGTAGAGTGTGGGGCCCTCGACAACAGGAGCTGGGGCAAACTTTTGTATTTTAGCACCCAATACAGAGTAGACCTTTCATGCACATTTACAGAGTGAACAAATGAGTAAATGATTTTCTGGTAGGAGCTTTTCAATATAAGAGCTCTGTGAGGGGCCAGCCCTGTGGCCAAGTAGTTAAGCTCACGTGCTCTGCTTCGGTGGTCCAGGATTCATTGGTTCAGATCCTGGGCATGGATATACACATCGCTCAGTAAGCCATGCTGTGGTGGCATCCCACATAGAAGAACTAGAATGACCTATGACTAGGATACACAGCTAGGTACTGAGGCTTTGGGAAGGAGGAAAAACATGAGGAAGATTGGCAACAGATGTCAGCTCAGAGCCAATCTTCCTCACCAAAAAAAAAAAGGTGTAAGAGTGCTCATTAAAAAAATGCTCTGGGAGGCCAGCCCGGTGGCACAGCAGTTATGCTGTGGTGGGCGTCCCACGTATAAAGTGGAGGAAGGTGGGCACGATGTTAGCTCAGGGCCAGGCTTCCTCAGCAAAAAAGAGGAGGAGTGGCGGTAGTTAGCTCAGGGCTAATCTTCCTCAAAAAAAAAAAAAAAAAGCTCTGTGAGGAGATGGAGATCTTCATCAACTCCATTTTACTGATGAGGTAACCAAGGCTCAGAGAGGATGGGCGACTCATCTAAGGTCACACAACTAGTAAGTGGTGTTGCAGACTGGTTCTTAGGTCTTCCTACATCAAATACCAAACTCTTTCTGCCATGAGGAAAGTGTGAAAGCACCTAGGTGAAAAAACCCCACTATTTATTGGCACTAATTATGTCCCTCCTCACTTGGACCGGGCCTTCTGTTTAAGACATCAAGAGTGAATAATGTCCTCACAGCTACAGAGAATAGATTGATGGTTGCCAGACACGGGGGTTGGGGGATGGGCAAAATGGGCGAAGGGGTGAGAAGGTACAAACTTCCAGTTATAAGATAAATAAGTCATGGGATGTAACGTACAGCCTGGTGACTATCGTTAATAATACTGTATTGCATACGTGAAAGTTGCTGAGAAAGCAGATTTAAAAATTCTCATCTCAAGAAAAAAAATTTCTCACTACGTATGGTGACAGATGTTAACCACACTTATTGTGGTGATCATTTCACAATATACACAAATATTGAATTATTGTTTCACACCTGAAAGTAATATGTTAGTTACACATCAATTTAAAAAAAAGAATGAATAACGTCTACCATAGATATTTACTACCCACAACAACCCTTTGAAGTGGGAATTATTTATCTTTTTTTTTTTTGTCAGGAACATTGGCCCTGAGCTAACATCTGTGCCAATCTTCCTCTGTTTTATGTGGGATGCACCACAACATGGCTTCACAAGTGGTGCTAGGTCTGCACCCGGGATCCGAACCTGTGAGCCCTAGGTCGCTGAAGTGGAGTGTGTGAACTTAACCACTATGCCACCGGGCCAGCCCCTGAAGTGGGAATTATTATTTCCATTTTACATGAGGAAACCGAAGGTAAGAGAAATTAAGAAACTTGCCCAAGGGGCTGGCCCCGTGGCCCAGAGGTTAAGTTCGCGAGCTCCGCTGTAGGCGGCCCAGTGTTTCATTGGTTCGAATCCTGGGCGCGGACATGGCACTGCTCATGAAACCACGCTGAGGCAGCGTCCCCCATGCCACAACTAGAAGGACCCACAACGAAGAATATACAACTATGTACCGGGGGGCTTTGGGGAGAAAAAGGAAAAAAAGAAAATCTTTAAAAAAAAAAAAAGAAACTTGCCCAAAGTCACACATCTAGTAAGAAGCAGAGTCAGGATTTGGACCCTGCTCTACATGAGGCCAAAGGTCATTTACCTCTGTACTTTATCACTTGGCAGAGTAAGCCTTCAATTATTACTACTAAATACTGTTTCTGGAACAAGAAGACCAACTTTGACTCAAAACAAAGAACCACTTCTTACCAGTGAGAAACTGCAGAGACGGAGTGGTCTGGTGACTCACGAGGCGGTGAGGCCAACGTCAACCATAATTGGGGGTGTTTAAGCATGTGGTGGGAACCTGAGCTTGGCTCGGTGGATGGAGCAGATGACTTCTATGGTTCCTTCTATCCAAGGTCTTGCTCCTAACATTTGTGGGGTCCAGGGCAAGATGACAAATGGAGGCCACAGACCATATTTCTAAAAATTTTAAAGTTAGAAATCAAGCTAGCACCTGTGAAATAAAATGTTCCATCTTCCTACCCTGATAAATATACTTTCATAACACCTGGACAGCCAGGTTCAGTTTTAGAATTCCAAGACTCCTTGGAACTCCATGCTGAAATGCAGCAGCATGGGGATGGCTGGATCACTTGCCAGCATACAGCCCACCCACCTCCTCTTTCCACCTTGGACTTGGTCCTAGACCCATGAGGGGCCTCATGTGCAAGGAGTGTAGACACTCCAGCCTGAATATCCAGGGTCCCTTCACTGTCCCCAAAGAACTGCCTCTTGGCCACCCTGCACGGAAGTATGCATACCCGTGGAAAGACAGACCAGGGGGAAGAGGCCTACACAGGCCCTGGAAGCAGCTCAGGGCTGTCTAGACAGAGCAAGGGTCTAGAAGTGGGGAGGGGGCACAGACACATCCTCTTGACCCCACAGACTGGTCCTCACCTGGGAGGGGCATGGCCTGAGGAGAGTCAGGACAGGGGCCTCTCTTGCGTGGGTCCAAGGGCTACTTCCAACATGGAAGTTCCATGATATTAAGTTCCTTGGGTCTTTCCTTTGTTCGGGATATTTTTTACTAGCTGAGTTTAAGACCAAAATCCTCTGTCTGGGACAAAGACGTCTAGGCTGGATGATTCTGAGCTGAGCATTAGGGGAGCTTTGCTGGGCTATTAGATTTTGGATGCAGTGGCCTAAAAACGAATATTGCTGGAGAACCCAGACAAAAATAACTGGTGGGGACTCTAATTTATTTCCTTTTTTTTTTTTTTGCTCATTTCTCCCTGGCTGGCTGCCCACACAACATCCTTTACTTAAGAATGTTCTGGGCTTTGGGGAATTTTCCTCCTTTCTCCCACGACTTTCTTCTTCTACTTATCTCTTCTCTCTCCTCATTCTCCGATGTTCCAAAGGCCACCATCTTCCCAGGTCTGCCCGGAGTCTGAAGTGGGGTTGTCTTCTCCCACCCCTACAGTAGACCTTTTCTCTAGCAAATATCTTAAACAGAAATCCCACTCAGTGAGGGCTGACTGCCATCTACCCACATCAGTGGAAGGGTGAATTTGGTCTTTTAGGAGTGACAGCATCTACAGAGGCCAGGTCTGCCTTGATCACCAAACCAACTCTCCCTCTATCCCAGCTTTTATCTGCAGGTGGGTTGGAAGGGCTGGTCAGTGCTGGGTTAAGAGTGTGGATTCTAGAGACTGTCAGCCAGACCTGGGTTGAAATACTGGCTCCATTGCTTATTAGCCCTGTAATCTTGGGCAAATCACGTAATCACTTTGGGCCTCAGTTTTCTATCTCTAAAATCTCTAAAAAGGGGATAATAAGAGTAACTGTGTCATGGGGCCATCAGGAGGACTTAATGAGAAAATTCACAAAAAGCTCTTAATTTTGCCATGGTTGGCACATACCAGCTGCCCAAACAAAAAAAGTCAGCAGTTATTATCAATAGTTCCTACTTTTGTTGATAGTATTCCTTCCACCCCAAGGCTTCGAACCTCGTATTATCTCTGACACACTTTCTTTGTCTCCCATATTTTCTTAATCATCTCGCTCTTCCTTTCTATACCTACTGCCATCACCTGAGCTGAGGATAGTATTTCAAATAGTTTGTCTCCTTCCTACCAATGTCTTTTCCTTTCCATCTTTCCTGCGTGCTGCTGTACTCACCTTCCTGAACCATTCTTCAGTCATGTTCCTTCCTTCCTCTAAAACAGTCTGGGCTTCCCCACCGCCCGCTGCATAAAGCACAAACCTGCCTGTTCAGCCCTCCGGATCGTAGTTCCAGTCCTATATGTCCACCATTATTTCCCACCATCCAAAACAGGAGTCTTCAATTCAAGCCAGATTGGTCTATTCCTGGATCCTGGCAGTCAGATGTCCTGCATTCAAATCCAGTCTGTGCCATGTATTAGCCGTGTGCCCTGGACAGGACTCTTAATCACCTTTGAGTCTGTGTTCTCATCCTGCAAAATGAGGGTAGTAATTCTACTTTATTCTCTAATGACTTTACCTTCCTTTAGGGTGGTTGTGAGGACCAGCTAAGCGACAGCACTTTGTAAGCTTAAACCACTCTGCAAATGTTAAGTTTTTAGTCATTGCGGGTCTGGTCCAGGACACTCTTTGTCCTTCTTTTGAGGGACAACTCAAGGCAAAGCTCCTCCTGGTTGGATGATCAGATCTATGGCTTAACAATGTTCTAAAATGAGAAAAAGGAGGAGAAAGAAGAAAGAGGACGGTAAAAGAAGAGGCGAGGAAGACTGTGATCTCTTCTCCTGGGAACGCATTTGAAGAGTTTGAGATGAAATAACCAGAAATTTTCACTTATTTCAAATTGATTTAATGACCTACTAGAGCCATCTTTGGGCTCAGAGAAGGGGGCCTGGTGACAGGCATGTCCAGAGGGAGACCATGCTGTCTGTGTCAGCACGAGGCTGGAGGTTGGGGGCTGACATGTGCTAACTGAGGAGGCTGTTTTAGGGGCCACGGGAGGGCAGCAAGGGCTGAGGCCTGGACACAGTGCCCAGAGAGGGGCAGTCTCCATGCTGGGTGAGTGCAGTGCCTGGTAAGTGAGGCAGGCCACAGGGTCTGGCTTTGCACTGCAAAGCAGTCACAGAGCCAGAGTGCCCAGTCTGCAGACATCTTGAGCCCTTTCACTTTTTGTGACATCTCTCCTCCCCAAAGTTGCAACTCCGCAATTCAGTTTTCTTGCACCATGGCATACCTGATATATGACATGCACGCTTCATTTCAATCTTGCAAGATCCCTGGGGTATAGGTCTTATTTCCTGCATTCTAGAGATGGTGAAACTCAGGCTCAGAAATTTAAATTACTTGTCTGAACCCAGGCAAATGGTAGAGGCAGGGCCAGGATCTGTACCCAAGTCTGTGTGTCCCAAAGCCCCACACACCATGAGGGGATCTGGACTCAGCCCATTAGAGATCTGTACTGGTTCTCACAGGCTTTGGCACATACAAGAAGGCAACAGGGTCCGTGCAAGCACAGGTCTTGGCCAGAGCAGACTCTCCCTGTGAGGCCTAGGTCAAGGAAGTCCCCCTGTGAGGAGGGAAAAGGGCTCTGAATAGTTAACAAGTGCAGTCTGGGAGTAACAGTCTTATGTAAAAGCAGAGGAATGTCACTCGGATTTACCAAATACACGAACAGGGGAGTGGGTGGTGGGAAAGAGATTATTCACTTCCAAAATGGTTTCCCTTTTGTTTCACTTGGCTGGTTGGAGGCTGGAGGACCAGGGAAACAGATGCAGACGTGTTAGAGACTGAAGGTCAAACCTGTCACTGATTATGCATTGAGAGAAGTGATCAGGTGGTATTTGGCAAAGTTACTTTTACAGAGGAAATCCTGAGAAACATATTACTCATATCGCTTAGCATTTTACAGCTTACAAAGCCTACATACCAACTCATTGTCTCCTAGAGCCTCTGAGCTGGAGGACACACAGGCCAGCCAGCAGTTCCCAGGCCGGCACCAGCATCATCTGGGGATTTTTGTCACCATCCAGGTCCCCAGATTCCATGCAGACCAGTGGAATGAGAATCTCTGCAGGTGGAAGCTGTATGGTTAAATGGTCCCATGGGGCTTCCTGCAGAGCACTGGATTTGGGTACTGTTGATCTCAGCCAGGCCAGCTGCCCTGCCTCCCATCCTCTCACCTGGGCTCGGCCCTCCAGTCCTTCCCCACCCAGTCCCTTCACTCTGCCACCAGGTTAAGTTCCCTAAAACACATCTGATCAGATCCCTCCCCCACCTCCCTCAGGCTACAGCCTGGCACTCTGGGGGCACCCCACAGAGTGGCAAGTCTACACCTCACTCTCACACACGCCCCCTCCCCTTGTGCAAAGCTCCTCTGTGAAGTGTTTGCTGACTTCGTCCCAGGCCTGTAGCAGGTGCTGTGTATCTTCTATTAGCACAGCTCTCAGGATTATGTAGTTATTGGATTTCCGACCCATTTAACTGCACAAGAATGTGGAAGAGGGAGCCTTCAAGGCAGGGGCTGTGTCTTGTGCATTTCCGTATTCCTCATGCCTGGTCAGGGACCAGCACAGGGTAGGGGCTCTATAAACACCAACTGAATGAATGAATGAATGAATGAACACACACATGCATGCAGGTAGCTTGAGCTGTCATTTATGTTCACTTTAAGCAAGCAAGACTCAAGAATAGATGTGTTTAGGGGCCGGCCTGGTGGCATAATGGTTAAGTTTGTGTGCTCCACTTCAGCGGCCCAGGGTTCACAGGGTTGGAACCCAGGTGCAGACCTACACACCACTCATCAGCCATGCTGTGGCAGTGTCCCACATATAAAATAGAGGAAGGTCAACACAGATGTTAGCTCAGGGACAATCTTCCTCATCAGATAAAAAAGAAAAGAATCGATGTGTTTAGAGTGAGCTCTCCTTGCTCAAAAGCCTACTAGCACAGCTAACTGGCTTACTGTATTTACTACAAATTAAGAGGAGCCTTGGGCTAACGAGATTGCTTGGAATTGGAAGACTCTGCTTTGGGTTTGATACCACTTGTTCCATGACCACTTAATGTTTTTGAAATAATCTCATTTCAAATATTATAAATAATACTGCTTTGTAAGTCAAAGGATGTCAAGGTTCACCTAATGGACTTTATCTAATTCATCCTCCCGCATCCCTGATGGTTAGGGAGGTCTCACTGCCTTTTCCTGGCAGCAGGCCCGATGTGGCCAGGGTGCAGGCAGAGCTGGTGGCAGGGTGCCAGAGTAGAGCTCAGGCACTCTGCTCTCCTAACCAGTCCATTCCACCTCAGCTGGACCCCCAAGGAAGGGCCCCGGCTCCTGGGTCCTGAAACTCGCAAAATCTGTAAGGATGAGGATCAGAGATGCTGGACTGAGAAATGCCAGGGGGCAGATATGTTATTGGTCACATTGGAGATGCTCCGTATTTGGAGGCTGAAGTCTGAATGTAAATCCTGCTTCTCCTTGTGACCTCGGGAGAGTTACTCAATCTCTCTGAACCTTGACATTTCATTTATAAATGGGGATAATACTTGTATCTTCCTTACTGGGTTCTCTTGAGGATTAAATGACACAATTATGTAGAAGGGCTTGGCGGGCAGCTAAGTGCTGCACACACGTGTGGCTGGTGGGACGGAGCCTGGAGATCCCTCTTTGCTGCTGAGCTGAAGGCTTTCACAGGGAAGCTGAAAAGCCAGCTCTGCACCTGGGCCCACATCCTAGGTAGTTTCCCGTTGAGACTGGCATTTCACTGTGCGCATGGCTCTCAGGCCCAGAGCCCAGGTTGGTGGCTGGCCCAGAGTATCCTTCTTTCAGGCTGAACAGGACAGGGACCTTTCAGCCAACCTGTGCCTGGCTCTGTATCTACCCTGGGGGAACCCCAGACCCCAGTGCTGTCCCTGCCTCCCTCCTCAGGGTGAAGATCTCAGCAGGGCCTAGCCAAGGGTGAGGGGAAGGAGCATCCGCCACAGGTTAAGCTCCTGGTGGTTCAGGGGCCTTCTGTGATGTGTAAGTCAGTGCTAAGTGCTGTTTAGATTAAACAATGTGACATCTTTTTTTAATCCAACAAATTGGTCAAGATTAAAAATTATATCAATAGTCAATTTTTGGCAAGCTTGTGGGGAAATGGTCACAAGCATACACTAGTGAAGTATAAATAGGTTCGATCTTTCTAGAAGACAGCCTGGCAACATGTACCAGTCTTAAAAATCAAGAGCCCAGCAATTCCACTTTGCATATTTACCCTATATGCAATATAGGCTATATGCAAACTTTAAGTCATTAATGTTCGCTGCAGCATTACAGATGAGCGACAATCTGTATGCAATCTAAATGCTTAACAGCAGGAGAAAAGTTAAATACATTATGGTACATATAGAATACTACGGAAAATAATATTAACATAAATACTGCTGAGCAAGCAGGCTACAAAACAGCATTACTAAATGACACTCTTTAAACATGATTTTGTGAAGAACAAATACGTATACATACGGCCTCGGGGAAAAAAAAGCCTAGAATAATAAATCCTAAAATGGTAACAGATTTTTCGTAAGGGGTGGGATTATGCGTTATTATTTCCCCATTGTGCTTTTCAGTGTTTTTACCTTGAACTCAAGTACCTTTTATACACTGTGAAGAAATAACTGTTATGAAGAAACAAAACAGAACCTGGAGTCTGGGCTGAGGGGCCTGAGGCAACAGTCCCACCGGAGGCTCAGAATTCCCAGGCGCACTCCAGACGGCGGGCTGCAGCATGAAAACTCAGGGAAGGGCTTTTGGATCCCGGCTGGATGTTCTCCCATTTCATCAAAGGAATACCTCAGCTGGAAGACGTGGGTGTGGAGGAGACAGTGTGCTTCAGACTTCCACTCACAGTTTAGAAACGCCTGTATTTATAGCCTGTGCAGTGACCTTTCTAGTCGACTGCAATTTATGGTTTCTTAATTGGTTTTCCTGAAACAAGCAGTGGTAACTTAGATCCCAGGCAGGGGAGGAGCAGATCCCATCGGAGGCGGGGGCGAGGGCTGGGGACTGGGGGGAGGGCATGTGGACGGGGGTGGCAGAAGAGGCTGGACCTGTTCTTTCCGCAGCCTCCCTGACACGCGGAATTACGGTGCCTTTAATTGATCTGGTGCATCGCAGCAAGGAGATGTTGGAGAAGCTGGGCTCTAAGTGAATAATCGCTTGATGTTCTATATTTATTTGTCCCCCCGCAGTGACGTCCATGGCCAATTTCTAAGGCTGGGCAGCTTTTTTCCACATTTGGGACCACCTGCCTGGTAGCCTGGCAACAGAAGAGTCCAGCTTGCCTGGCAGAATTGAAAGGACAAGGATGGGAGGATTCAAGTCACCTGTTAAGTCAGTGAAATAAAATCATCACAAGGAAGGGGTCTGGAGGGAATGCCCTAAACCCGCAGTATCTGGCTTTTGTACCCTGCAGTGTGTCTCAATTCAGGGCTCTCTTCTATATAAAAGAAATGAGACGCAGGATCTTTTTTCTTTCTCTGCCATATAACAGGAATTCAGAAAATGTTAGTCTATTTTTTTTTTCTAATTTTGTGTTTCATACATGCAGGCTTTTTGCCTTCACAAGATGAGAAGCCCCACCAGGGAGGATGCCACACCATATTCCTCTGGGTGTGGGCACGCCAGTAGTTAGGGCAGGGCTGGACACAGAGCAGGAAGGGACTTGCAGAAGGTGACACCGAGGGATGCCTTTGAGGGGCCAGGCTCAGCATTAATTGCAAATTTAGTTCATCCTCACTACAAATTCTAAAATGCAGAATTGTCTTTATTTCCAGAGGAGACAGGGGTTTCAGAGAGATTAAAGTAACTTTCCCAGGTCGCCCTACAAGGAAGCGGCAGAGCTGGGATGTGAACTTAAGCCACGTGGCTTTGGACCCCACACTCTTACCTTCTCCACCACTGCTCTCAGAGAGGAGGCACTGGCCCAAGGGGGCAGGGGGACAGGGACGAGCTGTGACCAGGTCATTCTTGGAGAGGACAGGAGGTTCTGGAAGGCCCAAGGTTCTGGTGGGTGTAGGGCAGGCCTGTTGTCAAATATAACCAACTCTGCCCAACCCTGAACTGCCCTAGCCTTCCAGAGATCCTCCAGCACAGTCACTGCAGACCAGAGCCAACGTCCGACCCCTGTGCAGACGGACGGGCCTCTCAGTGGGCCCAGAGGAGACAGGAAGCTCACCTGCACATCTCTCCTTAGGGACTTCTATTCCAAATGTGTCCCCGAGGGTGAAGATGGCCAGTGTTTCAGCAAACTCCGGAGCCAGGAGGTATGATCCGAGAAATATTCCTTACACCCACCTAGCCTCACCCGTTAGAAAGTATAATTAGGTTTTTTATATGCTCAACTGTAGAAAATGTGGAAATTATAAAAAGGTGCAAAGCATGTGGTAGTCCCCCATCATGGTGGGGGGTTCATATAGATTCAGGATCAGATTCTAGACTTGCTACTTAATATCTATGTGACCTTGGGCACATTTTTAAACCTTTCTGTGTCCTGCTTTTCTTATATGTAAAATAGGATTATCCTGGCCTATTTCTTCTATTATTTCAATGGAATGTTGGGAAGGAGAAAGATAGACATAGGGAGGCCTGGACTGCAACCCTGACACTGCCTCTGACAAGTTCCTCAGCTTCTCTAGGAAACATTTTCCTCTTCTGCAAAAGGAAGGTGTGGACCCAGGACCTTTAAGGAAGGCTCTGGAGCTAATGTTCTTCATTCTCAAAGCAGGAGGCAGCCTGGTGAAGTAGGCCTGGGACTGTGGGTCTAGAAAGGAGAGGAGATAGCAGCAGCTGCACGGTCCCCAGGAAGGCAGATGGGCACAATTAACTATCTAGAACGCTGGTAATGGTCTTTGAGAATCCAGATCCCCACAAGCAAAGCCCACCAGGCAGACTTACTGGGGCCAAAGGAGGCTGGGCCCCACGTCTGTTTGCACACCTTCCTTGGCAAATTAGAAGACATCCGAAGGCAGCCCCCCTGACCACATCGCCAGGCCTCACTCTGGCCCTGCTGACCGGCCCCTTCCTTGTCTCTTCCCCAGCATCCCTCACATTAGTGCCCTTCTCATCCCCTCTGCATTTGCTAATTCAATGAGTCCCAGGTCTGTTAAATTAAGCCCACTGCTGCCCCTGCCAGAATCCTCTAACAGCTCTAATTGGAAAAACAGCCTCAGCCTCTGCCCATCAAAGCTGATTATATCTGCGAGCAGAGGGGCCTGGTGCTTGTCCGGGATGCTTGCTCCACCCAGGCCCGTGCGATCAGCCCGCCCGGTTCCCTGGGGCTGTCTGCGGCTGGCAGCAGTCAGCCCGGGAGAGGCGCCTTCTCCACATCAAGGAGCAGCAGCTGGCCTCCCAAGCTTTGTCTCTGGCGGCATGAACAAATTTGTGCTCATCGGGGGAACTGGAAACAACTCGCTCTTAAAGCAAGAAGATATTTCTCTCTAACCTGTGTTCACTTTTCCCCTCTACAATCCCAGGGGAGTCTCTCAAACTAGAGGTGAGGATTTACCCCAAGAAAAGGTACACTTGCCTCAGGGAGCCATCCCGAGGGTCCACGGTGCAACCATGTTAATGCCCACGCACCCGCCCATTTGAACCTCCTTCTCAGGGGTCAGAGCAGACAGCTAACCACAGAGAGCTCTCTGAGCATCTATTACGTGCCCCACTCCATTCTGAGGGTGGATGCGGGAGGAGCGGAAATAAAAGAGAAGTATAATCGCTC